CAAAGTTACTGGGGCATATTTCAGGTACAGGATTCAAGGTTAGAGGCTCTTATTATGCTTTGGATGATTTGAGGACTTGAAGGGTTCAATTCTTGTGAAGGTTGGCTTGAAAAGCCATTTGTAACCTTATATGTCAAATGTGTATATTTAGTTCTAAACTTGTAATGTGCGCCTAAGCACACTTTTTGATTCTCATTTTATGTATATGTCATGAGGCCAATGGCCAAACTTTTTTCGGAATCACATATATGTCATGGATGTTAAATTTTTCCTTTAATGAGAATATATGGAAATTTTACATTTTAGTATGTTATATTGCACCGGAGTGTGCAATATGTATGAGATTCATCCATTAGAATTCATTAATCATGTATGAAGTGTGGCCAAAGGCCAAACGGTAATTTCCAATCATTTGTTAATTTTGGTTTTCAAAATTTCCATTTCAAATTCATTTTTGCCTTTTTGGCTGTCGGGGGGTCAGATTTTGCATCGGTCGTTTCCGAGAGCCGCGGACCATTCCCATGTGCTCAAAATCACTTATTACGTTTGCGTGCATATTCATTTCAGCCTAGAAGTGCATTTGGGGTCAAATGTATGCTTGGTGCAAATTCACATTTTTGCCGTTTTGAGCCTAAACTGAGCATAAGGGCATTTTGGGGTTTTCACATGAAAAATAAAGTTTTCTTTTGCATGGTTGGTTAGAAATCATGATTTTAAGGCGGGTTACTTTACAACTTTTTTCCAAAAAAGGCCAAGAAAGTCCTCAAAATCATATTTCAAACTTAGTTTTCTGCTAAGCCTTTAGCAGAACGAGCGCTTGAAGATGTCGCATGAGCACTCGAATATGGGGTAGAGAGTTTTGGCCCTTGGGCGTGTGCCATTCGAGCGCTCAAAGCCCTTGCACGAGTGCTTGAGGTACTGTTCATGTGTGTGTGTGTTTGTGTCTTGGTTCAGCACTGCACCTCCGACTTCAATCTATCATATCTTCTTTGTTTTAACTCCGAATTGGTCCGTTCATGAGTTTAAATTGATTGCGTTGAAATAAGATTTCCAATGGTACCAATTAGAGCTTTAGATTCTTTTTGTAGCTCTATGTATTCAAGTTTTAGTAAGGTAGTGTCGATTTTTGGTTCGAACCGGGATAGGGTTTCCCTTCCTTCGACTTCAGAACTTGATATCTTTGTCATTCGGACTCTGAATCATGTGATTCTTGAGTCTATTCTTGTTAATTTTTTGTTGTCTTTCCAATGGCGTGCACGGTGGCACCCTTTTTAGTGTGAAATGATCATTTTGCCCTTGGTTCATTTCTTTTCGGGTTTGGCATTCTTGTTTCATTGCTTGGCTCATTTGAGTTCTATAGCTTCATATAGAGTCATTTTGGTGCCTTAAGGATGACGTACATCTCTAGAGGTCACCTTCCCTCTTTTGCTTCCGCATTTTGGATCCGTCTCGGGTCATCATAGGACACACTGGGTTGAAAAATCCAGGGTCGTCACAGGTGGTATCAGAGCGTCCGGGTTTAAATACCTTGGACGACGGGCTTTGGGTGCATATCATGCTTTTGTTGATGTACTTTGATATGTTCACATGCTTTTGATAACATATTTACGTGCCCTTTGATAACATGCTCGGTGTGATGACATGTTTTCTGCTCTTATATGCTTATGTGTTTAAAAGCATCATAGTTGATACTTGTTTATGTGTTTAAGTACCTAGGAGTTTTTCATTATCTGTTTAGCGTGTTGTATATGCTTATCTACTTATGCATGACTGTATGTTGCATACATTGACGTGAAAATTATTTGATGCCTTTATTGAGCGAGTTGCATTCGATCATAATAACTCGTGTTATTATTAATCTCGTTTCCTTTTTACGCATATAGCGTCACAGTCTTGACTTACGGAGAGTCTTCTCGTTAGGGATCAGGTGAGCGTAGTGTTGTAGTATCCGTCTGGCGAGATGAGACGTAGGCCACGGAGGCATCGTTTTGTCTCATTTTCTTTTGTCTTTTCGTGATGTAGTCATGGTGGTGTTTGAGGTGTCAGTGTCATCTCTTAGGACTTCATGATGGTCTTGACGTCATTGATGTCATTGAGATCTTTGTTTCTAGTGTCATGGGATGATGAGTTAGGATTGACTCGAATCCTTCCTTGAGGAGTCGGGAGTTACCTTGTGAGCCTCAGGGCAAGGTTCTCGTGTTTTATTTTCTTAGGATGATAGTTTCAGGATTTGGATAGGTGTGTTGACCTAGAATCCTTCTTGTGTTGCCTTAAACAGCTTTTATGAGCTACACGATCTACATGAATCCGAAGGAAGCCCCATGAAAATCACAACTTGACCTCAAACCCAAACTCAAGAAATGGTCAGAAATTGATTCTAATAAGGGGGAATGGTAGAGCACGTCGAGGGGAACAATAAATGTAAAGGTCGAAGAATTTCTACCAAGGAAATCAAGTGGAGGAGAAGGAGAAAGGGTGGCAGCCAAGGAGCTCCCATGGCTGCAGGCCAAGATGGTGGAGAAGATGAAGAAAATCTAAATTTTCTTCTTTAAGTCCCCTATTTATAGTAAGTCTCAAAAAGTGCCCCGAAAGGGCCCCGTCGAGTCCGAAAAAGTAAAATTTGAGCAAACGCGCTCAAATAGCAAAACTCCGTGAACAAAAAAGATTCAAAATGATAAAATATGAACAACGGAAGAAACGGCATTAAAAACTGAGTCCCGAGCAGAGAGATATGCCCCGAACAAGTTAGGCGGTAACCCGGTCCAGAAACTCTGAAACTGGAACAAAATGACCAGAAGGAAATTCTAAGAGTCCACGACTCGACGAAATGTGAAAATGAATCCCGTATAAGGATCCAGGCTCCAGACGAGACATTTTGCAATAACTTTCGTTAATTGCATAATGGCCCCTACAAATCAGGGTGAACTGCGAAACTGCCCCAGAATTAAAAAAGATATTTTCTTAGATACCCCTGAAATAAAATATCTTCAAAAGATATTTATGAAAAATACCCCAAGAAAAGAAAAAGATTCTAAAGAATTGTGCATCCATGCCCCTATGGACACTGGGAGTAACCAGAGTACTTTCTTGCAAAAGTAAAAATATGTATTTCGAGGAAACCACTGAAGATGAAGACACGTGAAGTCAAAAACCAACTCCGAGCATGAAAAGTGAGGTTTTGCCAACAAAGTGACAAACAGGGAAAAGACAGAATAGGGAAAAGGACGAAATAGGAAAATGACCAAAGTGAATAGTGTCTCGAAAAGTGAAAATGCGGAAATGACTTGGTTCTCAAAGGAAGTTGTCAATTCGAACAAAAGAGTCTCGGAAACCATTTCCAAGCACTCGAGATGACACTAAACGATAAGAAATAGAACTCAGAAAAGAAAATTAAATGGAAAAAATTTATTCGTAAAATTTCAAGAAAAAAGGAAAGGAAGGTAAATGACCAGGTCATTACAATATGCAATTCATACATGATACATGCCGAAAGAAGTTGTGATTCTAATTGATTTTAACATCAAATATAAAATTTACCTCGATTTCCTAGTATATTTTTGTTACGTGTTAGGAAAATATGTTGATGTAATATGCAATTCACACATGATATATGTTGAAATAAGTTATGATTCTATTTTATTTAAATATGAAATATAAAATATATCTCTCCTAGTATATTTTTGTTATTTGTTAGAAAAATTCGTTGATCTAATATGCATTGTTTGGTTCATACATGTTGAAAGAACTTATGAGTCTTATTTAGGTCTCGGTGGATACTTTTGCTACTTGTTTTTTGCTTTGCTACTGTAGCAGAATTTTGGGCCAGAGCATGTTTGGTAATTTGGGCTAGGCTTTCAAACAGTATTGAAACACTTCAAAAATTGGGCCAAATTTCAGAAGCATCATTTTGATGCTTCTTGTTGCTTTCATCATTGTAGCCGTAAATTGCTTTTACTGTAGCCCATTAAGTGGAAGCATTTGGGCCCAATATCTGCAAACATATCGCCACATATTGCCACAAATCTTGAAGGAGAAAGCTTGAACCCTAGAGGCAATTCGGAGGCGATTCACTATGATAACCATCCTCCCACTATAGACGACCTTCTTGCAGCTGACGATCGGTAAAACTAATTTCATTATGTTTCGTTACCATTCTTCTTCCTCTGGATGGTCTTGTTTTCCTATTTCGGGTTAATTTTTGTGCTTCAATCTGAAACCCTAGTTCTGAAAATATCAGTTTTGTTACTTCGATGTGTATTTTTTTTTTTGGTAAAGTACAGTAACACCCCCTGAGGTTTGTCAAAAGGACACTCAGAGGAAAGTTTGCCTATTTTGGGACAATGACACCCCCTGAAGTTTGATACATTTACCAAAGACACCCCAATGGTAATAAATTGACATTTTTAGCCTTTGAATTTTATATTGACTAATTTAAATGCTAAAATGACCTTTTTATCCTCATACCCATAACAATTTCTTTCCTTTTCTCCTCTTTATTTTGTCTTTCTCAGCTTCCAACACCAACACACACTGTCACACATACACACACATACTGTCACACATACACACACACACGCGCATAAAAAATGAAAGTGAAGTATTTAAATATTACTAGGGCTAAATCATATCAGATGTCCTAATACATCCAACAAACAAAATCCATATTTTGTAGATATAATTTTTCTGGTTTCACATAATTTGACAAACACTGTAGATTGGAGGGATTGGACATAAACATTGAAAAATTTAAAACCAAAGTCAGAAAAATTACATCTATAAAAATAATGAAAATTTCAAAATAAATTGCATCATCAAATAAACCCACCAAGTTATTTGGAGAATTTAATAACCATGGACAAAAGTTAAAACTTGGTTCTACTGAAAGAACACATCAAATTAATTAGATTTATTAACCGAAAAAAATATCAAGTAATTGATGTATTATTTATCAAATAAGTATGAATGCATCATTTGTGTGACAGTATGTGTGTATATGTGTGATAGTGTGTGTTGGTGTTGGGGGGTTGAGGAAGAGAAAATAGAGTGGAGAGAAGGAAATAATTTGTTATGGGTATGAGGTTAGAAAAGTCATTTCTGCATTTAAATTAGTCATTATAAAGGTCAAAGGGTAAAAATGTTAATTTATTACCATTGGGATGTCTTTGGCAGATGTATCAAACTTTAGGGGGTGTCATTGTCTAAAAATAGGCAAACTTTTCTTTGAGTGTCCTTTTGGCAAACCTTAGGGGTGTTACTGTAATTTATCCCTTTTATTTTTTATTTATTTTTATTTTTTATGTTTCGTTACTATTCTTCTTCCTCTGGATGGTCTTGTTTTCCTATTTCGGGTTGATTTTTGTACTTCGATCCGAAAACCCTAGTTCTGAAATTACAGTTTTGTAACTTTGATGAGTTAATTTTTATGTTGTGTATAATTTTTGGTTGAATTTTATGCTTCGATCTGGAAACCTACTTCTGAAATTATAGTTTTGTTACTTCGAAGAGGTTTGTTTTTATTTTTTTGTTTTTTATGTTGTGTATAATTTTGGGTTTATTTTTGTCTTCAATTTGGAAACCCTAGTTATAAAATTACAGTTTTGTTACTTCAATGAGCTGATTTTTATGTTGTGTATAATTTTGGGTTGATTTTTGTGTTCATATCAATTCAAAATGACAACCCTTACAATTCTTCCTCTGGATGGTCGTGATTTCCTATTTAATCTTAATTTCTTTTTCGATTTGGAAACCTTAGTTCTGAAAATACAGGTTTGTTTTTTTGATAAGTATTTTTTTTTTTTAAGTTGTGTATAATTTTGGGATCTTGTTTGTGTTGATATCAGTTCAAAATAACAACCCTTGGTTTCTATTTGAACTGAGTTTCCTACTGTTTTCAATCTTAATTTTTTATTCCATCTGGAGACTAGTTCTGAAAATAGAGGTTTATTTTTTTATGAGTTTTATTACTTGTGTATCTATTTTGGCTTGATTTTGTGTTTTAATAGGGTTTCGATTTGAACTAAGCTCCCTACTGTGAATGTTTTATTGCAATTTTATTTGTCTACACATATAACTCTCTGCAAACTCACTTCAACTTGTAACTTTTTTTTGTTTTAAAAATATTTTGTGATTGCTTCTCGGTGAAAGTTATAAACTTTTGTTAATATTTCTTCTTAAATTGTTCATTTGTACTGAACCTCAGTTTTTTTGTACAACTATCTGCAAACTGAATAGACCTTGTAATTTTTGTTTATTACTTCAAAATCTGTTTTTGTGTGTTGTTTGTATCATGCTACCTATATCCATTTTCTTTCTGTAGTGCATGGTAGTTGCAATGTAATTTCAATTTATTAAACTGTGTATCATGGTACTTATAACAATTCTGTTTATTAGATGGATCTTAATCCCAATAATGTATATGCAAACTGAATTGACCTTGTAATTTTTGTTTATTACTTCAAAATCTGTTTTTGTGTTTTGTTTATATCATGCTACTTATATCTATTCAGTCTCTGTAGTGCATTGTACTTGCAATGTATTTTCAATTTATTAAATTGTGTATCATGGTCCTTATAACCATTCTGTTTATTAGATTGAACTTAATCCCAATAATATATATGCAAACTGAATTGACCTTATAATTTTTGTTTATTACTTCAAAATCTATTTTTGTGTTTTGTTTGTATCATGCTACCTATATTCATTTTTTTTTCTGTAGTGCATGGTACTTGTAATGTATTTTCAATTTATTAAACTGTGTATCATTGTACTTATAACCATTCTGTTTATTAAATGGATCTTAATCCCAATAATCTATATGAATAGGCCGATGAAATGACCTTGGGTGATGAGGTTCCAGTAGAGATGATAGACACGACAGATGATAGAAAAAATATTTGGGATGACTATTCAGAAGAGAAGTTCATTTTGCTGATGGGGGAGAGAGGTTAGGCAAGGAAATTGTACTTAGTGAAACTTTTAACAATGTTGGGTGAAGAAAGATAACGGAAGGAATGATAGTTGAAATAGGCAAGAGATACACCAATAAACAACTTAGAAATAAATTCAACCAATTGAGGGCACTACACAAGGATTTTAAAAAGTTGTTGTCTAAGACGAGTGTGGGCTATAATGCTGACAGTGGAATGATTATAATGGAAGATAAGAGATGGGAAAGGTTGACAAAGGTTAGTGATAAATAATGCAATCTGTTGTAGTATTATTTACCTTTTTGGGATACACATATTTTAATAATAAGCTTATTATAACTTGTAGGTTCTTAAATATGGAAAAGAAATTCGCAATAAGGGTTGTAAGCACTTTGAGAAGTTGTCTGCCATCTTTGGAGAGACACATGCATCAGGATCTCAAGTCCATCCTTCTACTAGATCTCACACAACCTCGCATGTCCCCACAAATATGGCTCACATTAATTCTCTTGATGATACTATGAATGAGGAAGGAAATGATGTAGAAGGTAAAGAGAGGACTCCATCACCAGAACCTCGACCTAGGAAAGTTAACAAATATAGTTTTGCATCCACAATGTCTGTAGTTATGAAAACCATGATTGAGAATTCAAAGAGGAAAGCTGAGGCAATAGAAAAAGCCATAGCTGCTACCTCTTCCAATCGTGTAGGATCCCATGAGGCAGGTGATTGTAACTCTCCCACCCAAAGGGAGAAAGAGAAGGGAGAAGTGCAAAATTGCATTAGGGTTATTACTTATTTGGAAGGACTTGATACTGCCCATTATAATAAGGCCCTAGCGATGTTCCATGACTCATCATTGTGAAGGGATATCTTTCTTAGCATTCCTGATGATAGGAAAGTGGGATGGGTGATGGGCCTGTAAGGACTTTCTTGACGTTCTTGGTTGATGTTGTACTTCTTCAGTCGTGTGGTTGTTTTAAAACTTGGATGACTGTATAACTGTTATTTCTTTTATTTTCCCGGATGACTGTAATAACTATGTTTAATTTTTTTATTGGATGACTGTACTAACTGTTATGTTTTATATATTTGCTGTCTAAACTGTTATGTTTTATCTTGATTGTTGTTTACTTTTGGTTTAATTTTTATCATTTTTTTTATTGCCTTTTTAAGCATTCCTTAATTGATATGTTACTAAATGCTATGTTTTATTTAATGCCCTTGTAATTTTTTATTTTCTTATTATAACTTGTATGTCGTCATGATGTGATATCTTTGTTTTCCATTAAAATAGGTTTCTATATATGAATGTAAGGACCATAATTGAGTTGATTGATTCTGATGAAGAAGACAACGAAAATTTATTGTTGATGGACATTGTGTTTAAATATTATGTAAAGTACTACGATAGACGACCATGTAGGATTCCTGTTTGAAATGTCAAGACTACGTAATAGAGGTTTTAACTGGTCACCCTGATAGGTGCTATGAGAACTTTAGGATATACCCCTTTGTTTTCATTTCATTGTGCGAGGAGTTGAAATCTATAGGATTAAAACATTCAAGATTTTTAACTGTTCAAGAACAAGTTGCAATCTTCCTACTTACACTGGCATACAATGAAAGGAACTGTGTGGTGGCCGAAAGATTCCAGCATTCAACTTGGACAATTTCAGTACATTTTCATATAGTCTTAAATAAAGTTTATGAGCTGGGCACGAAGTCATTGTCCCCCCTGAATTGACTGTCACTCCTCAAGATATTAGATTCAATCCTAAATATTACCCATTCTTTAGAGATTGTGTCGGAGCTATAGATGGAACCCACATCCATCCACACGTGCTGGTTGATATACAGATTCCATTTCGTGGGAGAAAAAATGATAAAACTCAAAATGTCATGCGTGTTTGCTCGTTTGATATGAAATTCACTTATGTACTGACGGGGTGGGAAGGGTCAACTAATGACTTACGAATTTTAAATGAAACCATGAACAATGTGGAACTTCAATTTCCAAGACCTCCTTTAGGTAAAAATAATTGGAAAGCCTTACGAGTTATATGTAAGTATAAAATATATTATCAAGTTTTCTAAAAAGCTAAAAATAAATGCAGGGAAGTTTTATTTGGTGGACTCCGGTTATGCAAATTAGCCAGTTTACTTGGCTCCGTATCAGGGTCAACGGTATCACTTACAAGATTACCGTAGGAATTCTAGAGGACCACGTGGTCGTGAAGAAGTATTTAATTATAGATACTCATCGTTGAGGAATGTGATAGAGTGTTGTTTTGGTTTGTTGAAGATGTGATTCCCTATTTTGAAGCAAATGCCTGCATTTCATTTTCATGCTCAAAAACTTATTGTCATAACTTGTTGTACAATACACAATTTTATAAAAATGCAGGGTTAGAGTGATACTATCTTTGATGGTAATGAGTTAGGGGATGACCCAAAATCTTCTTCTTCGCAAAGTGAGCCCTGTGTAGAGGTAAACGCTACGCAGAGTCAGTTACGAGTAATGGATCACGTCCGTGATTGTGCAATATGGAGTCGTGTGCAATGCTGTTGAGAATATCCATTTCAACCTGACTTATATGACACTGGATGACTGTAACTTTATTAGTACTCTTAACCAACTTGAATTGCTTTTAGTTTCACTTATTATATTGCGGGATGACTGACTGTATGTAATGTTGTAGTATATTTGTTGTATTTGTGGCTCTTGTTGCATGTTAACTCTATTTAATGAATATGAAGTCATGTATCAAGTACAGGGACCACCGTGTGCATGTGGTAGAGGTCCCATGAATCTTTACAGGGTAGGAACTTCGAAAAATAATGGACATTTCTTCTATAGATGTCCAGCATGGGAGGTATGGTTAAATGTATACATCATAGTTGCTATGATTAAATGTATACATCATAATTGATATGATTTATTATATTGAATATGTTATCAAATTTCTTGTCATAATTATACATATTTTTCATTATTGTAGTCACACCCACATGCATTCCTACGGTTGGATGCTTTGCACCAAGGTGCACACGTTGAAGGAAATATGGATGATTAGTTGGATGGTATAATTTTAGCAATGCAAGCTGAACAAACTAAGCATAAGTACATGCTATATGGTGTTTGTGGGTGTATTGCACTTACCATACTATTTATGGTGGTTGGGATGTTGTTCTTGCTCATTGTTGTTGTTGAGAAATAATGTGTGTAATATATTTACATATGATAACTGTGACACTCATTCGATATGTTTTATTTTGGAACTGTAATATATTAGATAAATATTCTGATTTTAGTAGGTTATGCTTTTTTTTTGGGTCTGTAATGCTACTTTAAATGAGTTGAACATGGTGGTAGTCATTCTTTGGTTGCTGCTGTTTGGAACAAGTCTGAAAAAAGGTATATATTTTCTATGATTTTGCCTTAAGTTGTTATACATTTAAATGACTGTCTGCCAATGCTCATTCTCTTATTATTTTCGTGGGTAATGCTACTACTTCTACTGAGTTAAACATGGTGGTGGTCGTAATTTAGTTGTTACTGTTTGGAACAAGTATGAAAAAAAAAAATATTTTCTATAATTTTGCCTTAAGTTGTTATACATTTAAATGAGTCTATGTCAATGGTAATTTTCTTATTTTTTTTTTTATGGGTAATGCTGCTACTTCTACCGAGTTGAACATGGTGGTGGTCATTATTTGGTTGCTGCTGTTTGGAACAAGTTTGAAAAAAAGTATACATTTTTTTACAATTTTGCCTTAAGTTGTTACACATTTAAATGAGTCCTTGCCAATGGTAATTTTCTTATTTTTTTTTGTGGGCAATGCTACTACTTCTACTGAGTTTAACATGGTGGTGGTCATTATTTGGTTGCTGCTGTTTGGATCAAGTCTAAAAAAATGTATATATTTTTTATGATTTTGCCTTAGGTTGTTATACATTTAAATGAGTCTATGCCAACGGTAATTTTCTTATTTTTTTGTGTGGGTAATGTTACTACTTCTACTGAGTTGACATGGTGGTGGTCATTCTTTGGTTACTACTATTTAGAACAAGTCTGAAAAAAGGTATATATTTTATATGATTTTGCCTTAAGTTGTTATATGTTTAAATGACTATATGCCAAAGCTCATTTTCTTATTTTTTTTTGGGTAATGCTACTACTTCTACTGAGTTGATCATGGTGGTGGTCATTCTTTAGTTGCTGCAATTTGGAACAAGTTTCAAAAAATGTATATATTTTCTATGATTTTGCCTTAAGTTGTTATACATTTAAATGACTGTATGCTAATGCTCATTTTCTTATTTTTTTGGTGGGTAATGCTACTACTTCTACTAAGTTGAACATCGTGGCTTTGTTTGGTTTTGATGATGAAAAAGCTAAAGAGCTTGCCAAATCTGTAAGTTTGGAGCTGGAATTGTCAATTGACTAGTTTCTCTTGAAAACGCTGAAACTTTCAATTTTTTGTTAAAAGGAAATCTATGCATTTCAAATACCAATAGAGGTACGTGTTAGTGACATTTGATTTTCTAGCTGATGTGTTGTGGTCTCTCTTTTTTCCTTGATCTAAACTTCATTGCTTTAGATATTGGTTAAATCTACATTTATTTATGAGGACAAGCATGCCATTTACAAATTGTGGTATTTTTTTGAAACTTAATTTGAAGTACCCTTGTGATTAATTAAAATGAACCCTTTGTTCTTTAGCATTGTAGAACAAGTTTCTTTTCTGGCCAAAGCTTCTTTGAGATGTTTTAGGAGTTGCAGGTAAGAGGGGCTGGCCAAAGCTTCTTTGAGATGTTTTAGGAGTTGCAGGTAAGAGGGGCATTTGTGAGATTGGGAATGGTATCATCTTATATTTTTTTGGATAACGGATAAAAGGAGTTTGCTTTGATAGTTAACTTTGTTTTTCACGGCAGTTATGATTCTTGTTTGTCATTATCATAGAATATTAGAATGTTATTCCAGCTTTATTAAGATGGATAATACACAACAAGGTGATAGGACTTGAGCCTTCTGGTCATTATCCATGTCACAACTATAATAAGATAGTTAGTTGATGCAGTAAGTAGAGTTCTTATGGGTGGAAAAATATCAACACACATATTATGTATGTATGTATCAATGTCATTATATTAGAATATTAGAATTCGATAGTTGTGATTCTTGTTTGTCATTATCGTAGTCCAACATTTAAAAATTTGATGTCTTCATACATTGCATTTCCATTAAAAATCTAATGTCTTCTTTGGGTAATGCTACTACTTATACTGAGTTGATCTGCAACACGAGGAGTAGAACTTTGAATGCATGTTTTCTTGGCTGACATGTATATGTTTCTGTCATTTTGGTGAAGAATATCCTTGACTCACGAACTAACAACCATTCTTGCTGTTAAATTTGGTCGAGGTGAAGATGGCAAAGGAACAACTTATTATTAGAATAGATAGTATTCAGAAGGATATAACTGAGGTTGAGGAGGTGGCTACACGTTTGAAAGGAGATCTCAAACTTTACTGTGTATCTAGAACGTGTAATGTTGTTGACCATAAATTTTGTAAATGTTTTATGTAACAAATAGTTTACGACCTTGAGTGGCATGTGTGGCCACCTTGCACTTTCTATGGATTAATCTGTTACTTCAAAATCTATGCAATTGGCTTTTTGAAAGGGAAAATAACTTCTGATCACTTTTTTCTTGATATGTACTTGGAGGTGTCTATAAGGTTGATTTTAAATTTGTTTAAACTTGGAGGTGTATATTAGGTTGTTTTGAAATTTGTTTATAAGTAGTATAATGTTCAAAATATATCATCATTGTACTGAACAAAATAGAATTAAAAAGAGTGATTGTTCACACTTGTATTTTAGATTTACAGCTTTATGTATGGTGGTTGGATGCAACTAAAAGTTTTCAACACCACACTGGTCCAAATATTGATTTATGCATGGTGTGATATGGATGAAAATGCCTTATTTTATTGTGCATGTGACAAACCAAACATGTAGGTTCAAATATTTTAAATAAAAGTAAGAGTTATAAAAAAAAAAGGTTTCAATAAAATTTTCAATTATTCAATTCTTTACCTCATGTCTTTTATTTATTTTTAAAAAATAATACCAATGATACAAATATTCTAAACTTTGAAATAGGAATATAATTTATAGAATTACAAACTTCTCTAAATTTTAAGTTTGAACTTCATTTCATTAAATCTACCTTTGTAAATTGGATTTATACTAATATACACACATGTTGTGTTTTGCAATTTTTGTTGGTTGTTGAAGTACATTTTTACAAATTTTTAATATTATTATAAATAAATTTAAATAATAAAATTCAAGAATACAAACAGTCATTGCCAAACAAGTTTTTTATTTTTGTTTCCAATATTTTCACAATATTGACGTTACTAAACATGTTTTCACGTTTTTACTTCCGAAGCATAGACGTTATCAAACATATTTTCATGTTTTGTCTTTCAAAGCATGGACATTACTAAACATGTTTTCATATTTTTGCTTCTAAATTTCATATTTTTGCTTTTGAATTTCAGGACGTTACCAATTATGTTTTTATGTTTCTGCTTTCTAAAATCTCACAACAAATAGACGTTACCAAACAAGTTTCAGAATAGTATTCAACACATTCTAAAGCAAAAACATTACTTCTGCTTCGGGTCAAAACAAAAGCACAAAGCAACTGTGGTTGCCAAACGTGCCCTTATTGAAATATGAAATGTAAAATTGACTTATCTAACTGTAATATTGTTATGTGGTAGGAAAGTTTGTTGATGCAATATGCATTTCATGGTTATTGAATTCTTAAAAAAGTTTCTAATAATTTATTTGTTATGATATAAAGGTGTGACTTTATAAGGAAGTACCGGAAAGAATACCAAAAACCCGGTAGGATACCACAACCTTTAATAGATTTAGTGCACAAACGTGCTCAAGTGACATTGAATTCAATGCCTGCTGTTGATAAGGAACAATGGATAAGGGAACGGAAAAGACTAAAGGAAGAGTACGACAACATTCCTGAAGAAAGAAAAACTAGAAAAAAAATAGAGGGTAATTAAATTTGAATGTAATTATAAAGGGACGACTTTATAAGGAAGTACTGGAAAGAACACCGAAAACGCGGTAGGATACCACAACCCTTAATAGGTTCAGTGCACAAACGTGCTCAAGTGACATTGAATTCAATGCCTGCTATTGATAAGGAACCATGGATAAGGGAATGGAAAAGACTAAAGGAAGAGTACGACGACAACATTCCTTAAGAAAGAAAAACTAGAAAAAAAAATAGACGGTAATTAAATTTGAATGTAATTATGTGATTTGATGACCTAACCCATAACCTATGCATGATGTCTTATAATGATATGGATTTGAAGTAAAAGAAAAAGGAAAGATAAATGCAACCAAAGGTGCCTGGTACAGATGCTCGCTTTCTAAGTTCGTTGAAGCACTGTCACAGCTCGATGATGAAAATATAAAGGTTGTTAAGGAGATTGGGTTTGGAAAATTGTCGAAACTTAAATATTCTTTTTTTTTTTCTCCGCGACCTATGCATGTATTTAATTAAAAGTTTTGACTCCGAATATTGTGGCATAAAAGTTGAGGACAAAGTTGGAGAAGTACCAAGATGTTTTGTTAGAGTAGGTGTTAAAGGTAAAGGTAGTTAATGAATTCAAGCCAACGTCTATCCTCTTAGCTTATTCTACTGTACTAAGTCCTACTGGCCAAAATAATTGCCATTGGGACTTGTTGAAAACTATTGATGATGTGAATGTCATTAGTACTTACAACTGGTACAGCTATGTCAACAATTGTTTGGCCAGAATTATGAAACCAGCTACAAATGGCAAGGTGAAAAAGTCATACGGTGGTTGTACGATGTTTTGCAGGTATCCTTCCTTTTCATTTGTTTAGATTTTCCTTTAAAACATTTGAAGTACATATTAATATTAGGGAAAATTACATATAAATGGAGTCAAAGTTCCATATTTACTTAGAGACTGAGTCAAAGTTACATATTTCTCTAAAATGGATTGCTGAGGTGGCACATGGTTTTTTACTGTTTAGAAAATTGTGGTGCCTAAAATGCCCTTCCCTAACAAAAAAGTAGTACCTTCAGTGCAAAAAAGTAGTACCTTCAGTTCAAAAAAGTAGTACCTTTGGAGAAAAAGTAGTACCTTCGCGGGTGTTTAAAAAACATGGTACCTGGACGCCAAAAAGTAATACCTTCAGTTCAAAAAAGTAGTACCTTCGAAGAAAAAGTAGTACCTTCGCGGAAGGGTATTTTAGGCATCACAATTTCTAAACAGTAAAAAACCATGTGCCACCTCAGCAATCCATTTTAGAGAAATATGAAACTTTAACTCAGCCTCTAAGTAAATATGGAACTTTGACTCCATTTATATGTAATTTTCCCTTAATATTATTTAACATAAGTGGTATTTACTTTGATTGTTGCAATTAAAAAAAAAAAAAACTGCTTTTTTTGATACGTTGTGATACGCAATATCGAGCTTGTCCAAAAGGAGATATTTAAAGTATTTGGTTCTGCTAATATATATATATATATATATATATATATTAATGACAGACTTGTGTTTTTTTTTTTTAAATTTATTTTTTATAATATGGAATGGGAATAGTTGATCCCACTTAAGACAAAGGTATGTACCAGCAGTGGTAATGATATCGTAGTCTAAGATGGTTTGGCCCTTCTCCATTTGATTATTCAAACATAGATTTTGACGATTATTAATTTTTTGACTCAGATATGGAGGTAATCATGTATTGAAATACATTTTCTCTATGTACAATATATGTTTTTAAAAGTTTTTTTTTGTCTCATTGACCTTATTTTACGCAGTTTTGCATTAACAGAGTCCTGATTGATATATAATTAGCGGAATTAGATGTAATAAAATCGAAAAGGAGTCTAACAAATATGTTGTCTGCCTTTAAGAGGTGGGATATGCGAAAAAAAGCTAGATTCTTTGGGAACAACAAAGACAAGAAGGATGGGTTTGGTGGGGAACCAATTGATGATGATACAGATGGTAAGGATGGCCATGGTGACCGTGTTGAGAAAACATGGGAGGAGTAACCTGATTCTGCAAGTTACGATGAATTAGTTGATCGAGACTTCGATGATGGTGATGAAATAGGTGAGGAGGAAAGTGATCCTAGCAATTACAAACATGAAAAACATACGGATGAACAAAGTGATGGAAGAAGTGAAGAAGAGTCCAATGATGCACAGGGTGAAAAAAATGAGTCTTATTCTAATGCAACCCAGAATGTCTTACCAAGTCCGAAGGAAAATAATGAGTTGAATGCAACGGTTGCTGCTAGTTATCGAGACACTCAGTTAAGTCTGGATCATATCAATTTAACAAAGAATGCAGAGGCTGTAGGAGTTGTAAAGCTTCGAATAGGGAAGAGAAAAATAAAGTGTGGGCGATATGCTTACTCTCCCTATGTATACAAAGACAATAAAAAAAAATGGTTTGTCTTACTAAAGAGCATAACATTTTGTTCAGATATGTGGCAAATGTTGACGGAGACGATTCGTAAGTTTTCTAATGCATTGATCATCTTTTGCATTACATATTTTTGCCTTTAATTAATTTTTGCATATGTTTATATGTAATGTATGAGTAGGATGCTTAATTTTCATGTATTGTCGTTAATTGTCTCATTGGAATTATTATTTCCATGTATGGTCGTACGGTAATTCAACATCAAATTCAAACTATATTTGATGAAAACTGGGTGTCTGATGATGTGAGTTGAATTCATTTCGTATATTATTTTTACATAACTATCAATGTTAATGATATTAAAAATGAATGTATCTAAATAAAATGTATTAATTTAAAGGTGATTAATTTCTTTAGGAATATGTTAAACAACGAGTAAGGATCTAACGGAGAGAAGTACTACTTCAGTAGTAGAGCCGTAAAGTTTATTGTTGATTTCAAAGTAGAAAATTTATAGACTAAAGCGCGATGTGATGGCCATAGTTTTACAAACCTGGTGGGTCCTGTGATGACCCGAAATGGATTTGAAATGCCGAAGCGAAAAGTAAAACCAAGGTCTCTAGAGATGCGCATCATCCCTATGACATAAAAGTGGCCTCTCGTGAAGCCACGGAACCCAAAAAGAAAGTATACGTGGAAGCTAGGGTTTAAAATGACGATTTTGCAACTCTAAGGGTAAAATGGTCTTTTCACAAAGAATTGGGTACCACCGTGCACACCATTGGAAAGACAACAAAAAATAAACAAAGTTAGACTCAAGAATCGCCTGATTCGGAGTCCGGACAATAAAGTTATAGTCGTTTAAAAACAGAGCATCAAGGCTGTCAAGACAGCCTGCCAATCGCGGCACAGCTGCGTGCGCGCGCCCTTGATAAGCTACTACTGGTATTAGAAAGCTGAAGTTGCTGCCCAAGCAATGGAAAAAGGCCTCCGGGACGTTTTTAAATTGCCTAAATTGAATATGCAACCTTAAAATACACCTACAAGACTTCCGGAAGTTCCGGAACGGTCTACACGATTTTTTTTAGAAAATCGATAAATAGTGCCAAGATCTATTTTTAAAAAAAAATGAATAACCCAGAAAATCGGATTTGATGCGGGGTTTTTGAGACCAAGACGACG